TAAATGAAGAGAAGCAAAACAAAATGAATTTGAAGAACAAATGTAATAATTTAAGTAATAAAAACAACTGGTTAAGTGTTGCTACCTACACCAGGAAATATGAACTTAAGACATCTGAATTCCTGATCCCAGGAGTTTAGGCATCTGGCTGCAATGGCAGAGGCTGGGAGTTCAATTCCTCACTGTGCCTCGTTGACAGAAGCCGGTCCCTTCTAACTCTGCAGTGCTAAGATTATTATTATATTATTAAGTGTCACCTACAAGGATTACTGTACAGAGGAAGGGAATCTGAAGAGAAGCTGGATGAGTTTTACATGTACAGTATTCAGACTTCATTGGGGAAAGATTCTCAGGAGATACTGAATCATTCTGTGTGAGGAATGTACTTAAGGAGATTTATCCAATAGAGGCATCAAAGGATGATGTTCGGGAGCTAATAATTAACAAATTACAAATCACCACATCCAGTGGTATTTACCTAAGAGTACATAAAGACTCTGCTAGTGAAATTACTATCTTTTAACAGAAGCAGGCAAACATTAATTAAGATTAAATGCAGGAAGGCAGCCAACATAATTATCTGGGCTTTTGTTTGTTTTAATAAAAGGGAAACCCAGGGAGAATCCAAGAAATTACAGACTTTGTCATCCTAATCTCTTTCCAAGGAAAATAGATCAAAAGCATTATTACCGCTGTAATGATAACAGGACTCCACACACTTGTGGCACTTTGGGCTGAGTATAACTATTTTCCGTTCAGAACCTCTTTTGAATGATCAATTCATACAATACTGTTTAATTATACACATGGTTCAAGTAATGACTCTCATGGATTGGCACAGAATCTATTAATATGATCTGCAGCAAACTTTTATGACAGAGAGAGAGAGAGAGAGAGACAAAATACTGCGCTCTGAGAAAGTAGAGTGTAATTCATGAAAGCTGACAATGTAATAAAATCTGTTGGCCTTTAAGATGCCATAACATTTTCTGCTTTTATTTCATTTTTCCCCCTTACATGTAAAAAGCAAAGGAAGCATCTGGGTTTCTGCCAATCTTCCTAGAAATCTAATTCATGCAGATGAAAGCTGAAATTCAATTGTTTGTCCCAACCAGACTAGATCCACCGAATCAATGGCCACTCGGTAAGACATTAACAGAGGTTTCATTGATTCGACATATTTACTTTCCTTGGTACCAACAATTACATTTAGGTGTAAACTTCCAATTATATGTCTGCTTATGTGACTTAAGTAGTATTTACTTTGTATAGATTCACACAGGGCCATGTCATTATTGTTTTTAAAGGAGAGTGGAGAGAGTGCATTGGCTGGAGTGCTGAGCTGCCCAAATAATGCTTCTCCTCCTCCTCCTCCTCTTCCTCCTCCTCCTCCTCCTTTTTGCACTAGTGGCATCTGGCTAGGGGCGCGTGGGGTAGCCTAGCCACCCTCTGCAATAAGAGTAGGAAAATTCTAACTTCATGTATATTGAGACGCAAATTGCCTGTCCAGATAAATAAAGCCTTCAGTTTGTGCTGCACTTCCTGAAAACATCATCTGAGAGTGCAGCACCACTGAAAACTGAGAAAGAGCAGCACAGAGAATTACTAGGAAATAGGCTGAAAACAAAACTGCCAGTATAATAGCACTTCCATAAAAATCTAATTTGCAGCTACATTTAGATTACTGAGTGCATCTCTGGTTGCTCCATCTCAAAAATGTTTGGAAAAGAGCAGCTGACAATCAAGACCACCCTAGTAAAGAAGTGTGAAGTATTTCTGGCTTTTTTTCTTCTTTCTTATTTTGGTACAGGAAGCAATACATATACATTTATCTGGGAGTAACTACTCTGGGACTCAATGTGACTTACTACTGATGAGCAGCTGTGTCTAATTGTTAGGGAGAACACAATATACTATCAATGTGGAATTTTCTTAGGGATTGTAGCTTTGGGAAAAATACATTATCCTTCCTTCCTTCCTTCCTCGCTCCCTCCCTCCCTATTTATTACTGTGAGATTATTTGAACTTTAAAGTTACAAGTGTTAAATTCACTGGAAATATTGTAATTATGCAAGTGATAACTTTTATTGTCGTTACTCTAAGCTGCTTTCAAATAATATTACGATGTAAAGTCATATACAAAAACAGATATCATCATGATGGTGACAACAGCAGGCATGGGCAACTTGTGACTCTTCAGATATCACTGGACTACAACTCCCCTCTTCCTCCAGTAATGGTTATGTTAACTAAGTCTGATGGAACTTGTGATCCAACAGTATCCGGAGGAACTCATATTCTATGGCCCTGTTCTAATACAACAAATTACATATTTCCATACAACGCCAATGGAACCGAATGCACTGGAATTTATCCAAGGCACCATTCCCATGAACAGAAGACCGCTCACCATGGACTGGAATACCTCACTTCTGCCTCTTTCAAGATAATGAGAAATGTTTCTCAAGAATCTGTTCTTATACCTCTACTCTTGTTTTTAAGCGTATTTGTAAGCCACCTTAACTGTTTTTAAGTGTATTTGTAAGCCACCTTAAGTCCCACCAGCTAGCTGGATAGTTCCATGAGAGGTATCTGGCTGCACAGCCAGAGGTTAAGGGGTTTGGTTCCCCACTATGCCTCCCAGAGAAGAGCTGGCCCGCATGGCCTTGGGCAAGCTGCACAGTCCCTGGGTGCCCCCAGAAGAAGGGACTAGGGTAAACCTGTGTATTTTCTACCCAGAAAATGCTGAAAAGGGGTAGCCATAAACCAGAACTGACTTGATGGCTCATGGTTATTATTTTTATAAGTTTGCTCAAGGGAGAAAAATAGAATTCTGAATGAAGAAATGAAGGAATGTCTCCTTCCTTCAGGATGCTGATAAAAACGCACAGAGGGTAATCTAAATAACTATGTACCATTTACAAAAAGAAGTTAGGACTGAGTCTTACCACTCTACGACCGCTTCTTCAAGAATCACTATTTAATGTTTTAAGAATCTGATTACTTTCTATCCTTATAGGTTAGCAGACACAACTTAAATAGTATGGACTGCTTCCTTTTCAAAAATCTATTGAAGCCAATTTTTTAAAAATGATCTTAACAAAAACATCCAAGAGTCTATTTTAAAGTGGGGAAAAATTGTGGGTGGGGAAACTAAGGAGAAATTTTTTAAATCTACTTTTTGTTATATAAAAGGAAATATAATTAGGTAAAGATTAACACCTGGGAAGAGTCACGGGAAGGTGCTCAACTTTATCTAATAAAGAATTTAACTCTCTAGTAAACATCTCTTGGGGAGCAATGATTTATTTCAGACAGGGAGACCCTTGTCTGCATGTTTGATACACGCCTCTTCTTTCAAAAATTTGTATTCAGGCAAACTTCTATTGCAGCCAAGAGCGTTGTAGCACCATAGTCAATAAGCACCCATAAAACATAATTAGCTTTCTCCTACTCTGAATGTGTAATTCTTTAGATGACAATATAATTGATTTATCAAGGCCTCACCTTCTCTGCAACTAAACAAACGGGGGACCTAAGAATCAATGCAAGTCATTAGTTATGGCAGCAATACAAATGGGAAGGCCCCATAGATAATTAACATCTACTTGGCTTTAAAGCAAAAGGCTAAAATTTACAGCTCTGCCTTCTTGAAAAGCTTTTCTCCATCAGAAGTGAAACTGATAAATAGCAGACATTTTTGGGGAGCTCTCAGGAAGCCCAGCCAGTCACCCTTATCAACAGCCTTTTCCACCAATACCTTCTGGCTGTTATATTGTCCCATAAAAAAAAGCAGATGAGCACAGTAAATTAAGAGCTTCAAATTAACATGTTAAAGTCACAGCAGGAAGTGTGACAACCAAAGACTTCACCACTTTTGTATTTGCTTGCCCTTTTGGGAAGGAAGGCTGAAGAGAGCAGAATAATAGTCTCTCCATTAAAAAAGGGGGAAAAAGGATTATTACTTTCCCCAAGATTTATTTTATTCTGTGGATGTGAAAATAATCTAATGTGAGTAAGATGGCTATAAACGACTGTTTAGTTACCTAACTCTTGTAAATATTTTATCACTGTAAAAAAAATTACAGCAGGAGTTGCTTTTCAAGCAGTGAATATTTTGGGGGGCTTTGATAGTTCACACATCCAAAAGATTTAGAACCGACTGCTGCAAAAAGTAATAAGCCGATGCCAGCAAAGTCCCTGATATTTACAGACATGAATCAGTGGATATAGTGCTGTATCTTCCCTAAGAGTTTCCTTTGGAAACCAGTCAAGAGCATGAAAGAAAGGCAATAATTAAAAGATTCAGCACATTTTTCAAGTGACACAACAGGCAAACAGCAACGATACTTCTCAAGGCAAGGCTAGCATTTTGTACAAAGCCTAGTGCAAAATCTTACAGTCTTTTAAGAGTGCGAAGCCGATATGCAACACTGAATCTTTTTATTTGATCCTACAATAGGTAAAGGTAAAGGTTCCCCTTGACTTTTTCAGTCCAGTCGTGTTCGACCTTAGGGGGCGGTGCTCATCCCGCTTTTCAAGCCATAGAGCCAGCACCTGTTCGAAGACAGTTTCCGTTGTCACGTGGCCAGCGTGACTAGGGAACGCCGTTTTACCTTCCCACCAAGATGGTACCTATTTATCTACTCGCATTTACACGCTCTCGAACTGCTAGGTTGGTGAGGAGCTAGGATGAAGTGACAGGCACTCACTCCGTCGCGTGGATTCAATCTTACAACTGCTGGTCTTCTGACCCTGCAGCACAGGCTTCTGCGGTTTAGCCCACAGCACCACCATGTCGCTACAATACTTCGGGCCAAAATAGGTGTGGTGTTAATTGTGTGAAACCAACATATGTGTATGGGGGAAGAGGATCAGGACTGTGGTGGGAAGGAGGGAGGAACTTAACGGCTCTTATTGTGGTTGCAACAAATATTTCCCATAGCTCCTATGGAAGTTATGGGAAATATTTGGAAAGTCTTTAAAAGCCTTCTAAAAGATTCTTGCTAATTCATTGGGAAAGGGCAGTGACCACCATGCAGAGAAAACAGTAAGCCTGTGGTTCAGGTCAGGAAAGATTTCTCACCTCCACTTTGCTCTTCATGTCTATTACACAGCATTATTTTATGCACAGTTTTCAAGTCACTTAAAAAGCAGGCCCAACTTTAACACTCCTTTAATGGGCAGATCCGGATGAACACTGTCTCAGGGACTGGACACTAGAAGTCCTGGTTGCCATTAAAGTTCTAGCAAGCCTGGGTGCCCATTACAGTAAAGTTTGAGAAACCATTTAATATGAATAAGCCATTTTAGGAAAACTAGGATCTTTGAGCATTCTTCTGACCTTTTTTGTGTTGCCTTAGGATCAATTGTTTTTTCTTAGAAAATTGAAACAGTACTTACCAAGAATTTATTGAGAAAAATGGCAGAAATCTTATTGAGCAGCTATGACTTATGCAATCCTTGTTGTCTTGGCATAACACCCAGCAAGGTTGTGCGTGTGTAACTTCATTTTACATAGCAATATGCAGGATTCCAGCCAATAAGTTAATCTATACTCTGCTTTTCCTCCAATGACTTCAAGAGTTTGTTATCAAGGCTCTCCTCCTCCCTACCTTCTATTTCACAGAAAAATTGTGAGGTAGGTCGCCCTGACCAATTGTGACTAGCTCAGGGTCAACCAGTAAGTTTCATCGTTTATTGAGGATTTCAACCCAGGTCTTATGGCCCCTACATCACACTGGCTCTCCAACCAAATTTGGCACAGTTTGATTTGCAGCTCAATTACTTGCCTTTAACTTTTCACATGGTGTGTTTTTAGTAGAATAAAGAGTAAAATAAGTAAAACAATCCCTATTGTGTAACCTAAAGGCAATGCTCCAGGAGGAATCTTTCTGGGATGCACCCCATTCAAGGCAGCTTCATAGCTGGCTGTGTGGGAGAAACAAAATATATCCACCCAAGTGTTTTGGAATCATAATAATTTCTTCGTCTGCTCAGAGCCAGGTACAGCTTTATGAGGAGGCTGGACGAAGTGGAGTAAGCTACTGATGCTGCTGCTGTTGGACACCTAGCAGGAGTGACAGGCAGCAGTGCTTCAAAGAGCTCTGGGTGGCTGCTTGAATCATTTTACTAGTGCAATACTATACTGAGTCCATTGTGGGAACTTAAAATGGAAGCTAGATCCTCCAGCAACAGCGCTGGGCCCTGCCAGCTGACTGGGGTCTTAAAGGCTGCCCAAGGATTCCAAGCGCTGATGGCTGCCCTGTCCTGCTCCCCCGCCCTCCACAATATTATGCAAAATCTGAAGAATTGGTTATTTTGGTATTTTCTTCAGCACTCACCCTGCATGCATGAATATGTATGTGAGGTACCTCCAGGCCTGGGCACGGAGCTGAGGATGATATAACAAAGGGTTCTTCAAATATAAGGGATGGGTGACTTGCAGCACAAACCTATCTAGTACCACTCCATTGTAAATAAAGAAGGCAACCTAAGAAAACAAAGAGATTCCACAATTAACCACAAGCCATTCAAGGATCCAGATGACAAAATATATTTCAGATCATGTGTTGAAGAAGACATCAAAGGCTTTTGTTTTGTGAAGAAAACAGCAAAAACAGATGAGACTGAAGGTTGGGTTGCAGTACATGACCGGAGGAGGTAGCAGGATTTCCTTGCTGCCCCATCCTTTTGGTGCTGACCCATCAGCCTGCCTTACCTCCAGCAGACATGTATTTGTTTTTGGAGGAGGTAGCAGGATTTCCTCGCTGGCTCTGTCCTTTTGGTGCTGACCTTACCTCCAGCAGACATGTATTTGTTTTCAGTGTGAGCAGGAGGCCTAGAGAGGTAATGCCAGTATGCCCATTAAATGTGCTCACGGGAGCCTAACATCTAGCCAGACAGAGTTCTTAGCCCTGTAAGGAAGGCACCCAGCACTAAAAGACGTTATGTTTCTCGGCTACAATTACCAGTAACTCCCAGCCACCAAAGCAAGCAGCTAAGCACATAGGTGGGTTTTCTCAGAAGTATAGTTCAAGCTGCACAGCCCTATACACATGTGACAGTAGCACCCTCTCCTTTCATACTGATGTGAACTACAGTATGGGAGGAAAATAGGGAGGAACATAGAAATCCATGACACATGTCCGTTTCCCTACTAACGGCACACTTCCTCTTTCAATATGTTTCAGATCAGCACCACATATTTCTATGCGATTTAAGAGTAACCATTGTTCAAATCAGTTTGTATAAATACATCACTGATTGTAATGCCAACTGGGCTACAGCTCTGATAATAGGGCTATCACTGACTATGCTGACTGGGACTCAGGGGCATTTCAGTCAAACAACATCTGAGGGAGTCAAATGTTCCCATCTGGGCACCACAAGACACATAGCTTTTATGTAAATGCCTCTCTCTTCCCAAAGTCCGCCCCAACCGTAGGAGTTCTACATGAGCTAAAGTTTCTGAACCAGCATTTGCAAAAAGGCTGCTGTTAGAAATGCAGTTTCCAGAATCCTCCAGTCAGCCATGTTTGCAAAGCTACAAAATAGTAGCTTTTCCAGACTGTGTCTCTAACTCTCTTCAAGAGGCACCTCCGTATCTGACTTGTGAGATAAATGAAGAATGAATTTCACTGGGAAGATCATCTAAAGGAAAGGATCTACTTACTACCCTTACCAAACTCCTCTAGCCACAACTGCAGTCTGATGATCACCCAGGAGCACATATTCTCCCCCCACCCCAAGTTGTGGACCTGATCCGCCATCAGGGAGAAGGCCTCCAAGTAGAACAGGTCAACACGCCTCCCCCCCAATCCTGTCCTGAGGGCAGAGACGTGCCTCTACAAGGGTGATGGCAATCATGAACCAAGGTGGAGGACAGCAGGTGTAACTGTCGTAGTACCACTTCCGATCTATCTCACGTGGCAGCGTCTCGTATGCCACATGCCGGATCAACCTCTGGGAAAGGCTAAGTCCCGTCTCCTCCAGCAGAGCCTTGCTGCACAGCCTCCTGTTCCCTTGCAGAATGGCTTGGCGAAAGCTGTTGGACCTTTTGTTACTCATCTGAAGAAAAAGAGGAAAGGAAAGGGAAACATTAAAATACAAAGGCCAGGCTCTTACCAATAGAGCATGAAAAAGTGGCTAGACTGGACAGACTGAGCAGAAATAGATAAACTGGAATCCAGAGGTGCTTAACTTATAGCCCTTTCTCTCTGCCATATCCACACTGCAAAAACTAGAACTGGCAGGACATCTCCCAGAAGCTTCCATAATTGCTTTGGAATTCTAGGTATTGTAGTACAAAACAAAGCAAAGGAAAACAAAAGGAAATTTTCTAAGCTCTACCATATCCAGGACTCATTCCAGAAGAAACAATTCACACCAAATGTATAACATGGTTTCTGCTCTGTCAAAAATTTTATGGGGGATGAGTATGTCATTTCTTCCAAGGAAGTCACTGGAACAGATTGTGTTAGAGCCAATTTTTCAAACCTCCAGATAAGAAAGTCGTCATTTACTTTTCATCCAAAATCTAATTCCGCACAAAGCAAAATAATGTGATCTATTAATCAGAGCTGGAAATTCTCGTGTTTTATTGTGAAATGTAGACAAGCCACTAATTTATTTTTTTGAAAGAAGCGATGAAGAGATTTGTGATGCATTATACCCAATAAAGATGGAGATTAAATTTAGTCAAATGAGCCCAGAATTTTTCTCTCCAATCCATGTTTTTTTAACTCCACTACTTTGCCTTCTCCTCTTTTTTTTGAATCAAATGCATTCACATTGATTCAGATAGTATAATCACTGGAATCAAAGTGGACCCTATGTTATTTAACATCTACATGAATCCACTAGGAGAGGTTGTCAGGAGTTTTGGGGTTTGGTGTCACCAGTACATAGACGGCACCCTACTCTTATCTTTTCTTGCCATCAAAAGCTGAGGAAGCTGTTTTGGCTCTAGATAAGTGTCTGGTGTCAGTAATGGACTGGAGGAAGGCCAATAAATTGAAACTTAATCCAGAGAAGACAGAGATATTCCTGGTCAGCCTAAAGGCAGATCAAAGAACAGGGATACAGCCTGTGCTGTATGGGGTTACACTCCCTCTGAAAACACAGGTACACAAGCTGGGAGTACTCCTGGATTTGTTTCTGAGCCTGGATGCTCAGGTTTTGGCACTGGCCTGGAGTGCCTTTGCATAATTGAAACTATTGCGCCAGCTGCACCCATTCCTGGAGAGACACATGGTGTCACATGCCTTAGTTATATCCTGTTTGGATTACTGTAACACACTCTACAGACCTTTCAACATCACAGTAATCCAAGTTTATGCACAAACCACCCATGCTGAAGAGGCTGAAATTGACCAAATCTATGTAGGCTTACAACACCTTCTAGAACTGACATCAAAGAAAGAGGTTCTTCTCATTATAGGGGATTGGAATGCTAAAGTAAGGAGTCAAGAGATAAAAGGAACAACGGGTAAGTTTGGCCTTGGAGTTCAAAATGAAGCAGGGCAAAGGCTAACAGAGTTTTGTCAAGAGAACAAGCTGGTCATCACAAATACTCTTTCCCAACAACATAAGAGGCAACTCTACACGCGGACATCAACAGATGAGCAATACCAAAATCAGATTGAT